TCACATAGCTAATAAACATTTGTTCTATTCTTGTGCTATAATTTTGAATCTTGATGCGGTTTAACAATGTATTATTGATATTACATTATTATAAGCTTTATATAGAGGGGGTGGGTGGGGCTGCAATTTTAAGACCTGTCTGACTTGGGGAAAGCCCCCACATTTATGGTTAGATTTTCGAAAAATACATTTTTCATGCATGGAACAATATTTCTGGTAAGTTTCAGCCATGTAACTGATGACCATATAAAAAGTCCCACTTTTAGGGCGTGGCCAGGTGGGCTTTAGGACGATCTGACTTGAGGAAAGCCCCAACATTTTTGGTTAGATTTTTTAAAAATATGTTTTCCAAGTATGGATCTTTGTTTCCAGTAAGTTTCAGCCATGTAACTTATGACCATATAAAAAGCCCCATTTTTAGGGTGTGGTCGGACATACTTTAGGGCGATCTGACTTGGGGAAAGCCCCCAAAGTTTTGGTTAGATTTTTGAAAATTGTATTTACCAAGTATGGATCTTTGTTTCTGGTAAGTTTCAGCCATGTAACTTATGACCATATAAAAAGCCCCATTTTTAGGGTGTGGTCGGACATACTTTAGAGCGATCTGACTTGGGGAAAGCCCCCAAATTTTTGGTTAGATTTTTGAAAATTGTATTTACCAAGTGAGGATCTTCGTTTCTGGTAAGTTTCAGCCATGTAACTGATGACCATATTATTAGCCCCGTGAGGCGATATTGGGCGTGGTCTGACTTGGGGAAAGCCCCGGAAATTTTGGTTAGATTTGTGAAATATTTACTCCGACTATGGATACCATTGTCCCTACAAAGTTTCAGCCATGTAACTTATGACCTAATTTTAGGCCCCCTGGGAGCTACTTTAAGGTGCTGCTGCGGCTATACGCCCCAGCAGTGCCCGATCTGACCAACTGATTTTTACTCCTACCAACACCTGCTACCAATTTGGGGGATCAAACCTTTTGTAACTGATGACCATATTATTTTGTCATTAGCTCCTGGACTATAAAGGCCACATACCTTAAAGATGCATTATATAGTTTTAAAATAGATAATATGAATATATTGAAAATGTCAATCAAATTTCTTTACTGAGCGAAGTTATGAATGGTTAAAGATTTTGTCCAAACAGCCCTGATTGTCAAGTACCATTGCTACGATAATGAAGTCTATTGTCCATAACGTTAAATTATTAAATGCCGCGATTGTTCTAATCCATTTTTCAAGTGATATATTAAAATATATCGTGTAATGTCTAAATAATAATCTATATTATATTTGAAGTCTGAAAAATAACCTGCAATAGGCAGATTTAGCTCTTACACACTGCAATTTTAACGTAGGTTGTTCACATTTGGTTTGAAGCATTGAGTTAATGAGAGGACCACCCTATTGATATTCAGCGTTCTGCAACGTTCCGTTTCGCAGTTAACCACCTTCGCCGAAAACCGTCTGCAGGCGATATGGGCTATATTTTTCTAACGGCTTTATTTGAAACTCGGTTTTCGGCGCTCTGTGACCTTACGTTAAGGCAGTGATTCTCGACCAGTGTGCCGCGAGGTCGTCCTAAGTGTGCCGCGAAATTTTGAACGGCACACTAAGAAAATGTGATGAACCACGAGATCCCAATTGAGTATTCACTGGTGTATACTGATAAGTTCATAGCTGTGTTTTTCTTTATTTAGTTTGAGTCATTCTATATGTCTATGACTAGTCTATGTCTACGATTATATGCCGTCTATTACTTGCCATGTTTTTTTTTTGCAACATTCAGATATTTAGGGTTTCACACTGCGTAGCTTGTGTGAAACACTATTGTTTTTGTTAAAATTATTATTCTTATTATTATTATTCTTCTTTTGTTTTGAGTAGATCTCAGCAACTGATTGTCGGATCGTTACGATTTCTTCGGTTTTATCGGAAATGTGGGTGTGACTTAGAGGATAAAGCTATTTTGAACGTTCTGCGACAATGCGAAATGTCCGAAATCACCGAAGCTATCGTTTTTAGAAATATTGCAGTAATTTTAACAATAATCATTGGATTTTAACTTTCGATGCATTTTGGCATAGCCGGAGACGGGGCACATAGCTACGCTACTTTTGATTTTTCATTTTCGGCAAATCTTCGCAGATATTAGGCGCTAAATTTAGAAAATTTAAATTTTTACAAAAAACTTTTTTATTTATGAATATTTTTTAGTCGTGTTTTACACAAATATAACGAGTCCTCTGACTTGGGCAAAAATGTGAAAAATTTTTGTCTCGGTAATTTTCCTTGGCCACCATTGAATAATTAAGTTTTTCAGTCCTAGATTAATTATTTATTGTTCGATTTGTATAAAACAAAGTTTATATGCTCCGTTGTCTCAATTGTCATTTTTTTTGTTACCAATAGTGTTATCTGTCGGCACCGGAAGTGGCGTAAATTGACAAAAAACTACAATTTTGACAGTTAGGTACCATTTTTCGAAAGCAAATATTATTTTTTTCAAATCTGGAAAAACTGAAATTGTGCTATTTCGATTAAAAGGTGAAAAAAGGTGTAAAATTAAGCTATTTACAACCCATCCAGCGTTTTCATATTTTAAAATATTACGTCGTAACTTCCATAAACTCGTAGCAATAATCTATACGGAGAGAATGTATGTGAAAATTAATTTGTAATATGCGCAGTTGCCGAGAAATGGGCAATTTTGCATGAGTCACTTTTTACGCTAGTTTGCCTGTAAAAGAGTCAATTATTATTCGATTTCCATAAAAGTGACACCATTTGATGTGTAATGTCAATTTTAACTAGGTCAAACCAATTTAACATTTTCAATATCACCGGAAATGACGTAATTTGGGCAAAAATTGTATTTATAGCCTTCGAAACCAGTAATTTATTCAAATGAGTCATATTTGTTATTTGTTTAAAATTTTGATATTTGATTCAAAACAACTAATACAATGAACCCTTACGATCATATAGATATCACAAAATGGTTTCTAACTTGTTCAGTTGCGGAGAAATAGGCAATTTTCAACAGGTCACTTTTTAAGGTTTTTTGTCAATAAAAGTGTCAATAATTATTCGATTTTCATGAAATTTTCACTGTGTGATACATAATGCCATTTACGATTTCATACAAGTAATTTAAGATTTTCATTATCACCGGAAGTAACGTCATTTTGGCAAAAACTGTATTTTTAGCCTTCAAAACAGATATTTTATTCCAATGAATCAGATTTGTAATGTTTTTAAAATTAAGATATTTGATTCCAATCAACAAATAGAATGAACTCATTCGATCATACAGATACCTCAAAATGGTTTCTAACTTGTACGGTTGCAGAGAAATAGGCGATTTTCTACAAGTCATTTTTCAAGGTTTTTGGTCTATAAAGGTGGCAATTATTATAGGATTTACATAAAACTTTCACCATGTGATGATGCTATTTCTGATTTCATACAAGTAATTTAAGATTTTCATTATCACCGGAAGTAACGTCATTTTGGCAAAAACTGTATTTTTAGCCTTCAAAACAGATATTTTATTCCAATGAATCAGATTTGTAATGTTTTTAAAATTAAGATATTTGATTCCAATCAACAAATAGAATGAACTCATTCGATCATACAGATACCTCAAAATGGTTTCTAACTTGTACGGTTGCAGAGAAATAGGCGATTTTCTACAAGTCATTTTTCAAGGTTTTTGGTCTATAAAGGTGGCAATTATTATAGGATTTACATAAAATTTTCACCATGTGATGATGCTATTTCTGATTTCATAAACCAATTTAACATTTTCATTATCACCGGAAGTAATGTAATTTTGACAGGATCACTGACATGTAGCAAATGAATTGATTGCTGGATTTGGTTGTTTCTGCGTCCATTTTATTTCATGTGTGCAATGCTTATGTGGAAACCTGTTTAACGGTTTCATTGGTACCGGAAGTGACATAAGTTCTAGGGTAACGTGGCGATTAATAACGAGACATTTCCGGCCAATTATTGTCTCGCGCGACAAAAGCTAATATTTGGGATTCCATGTCAAACTAAAGATTAGATGTTTTGAGCAATTTTTAAGCGATTATTGAAATGGGGTTAAGGACCTACTTTTCTTTACCAACGGGGCTAATAAAGATGGCCATTACGATTCGGGGCATACCGTGTGCTATGAGAGAAATGTAGCCCGGGCGGAGGCGTTTCTGCCTACTCTTCGCCGAATTCCAACTATTACGTGCATGAGTTCTTTAGCTCGAGCGCCAATAGGTACACGGAACCTTGGTCTTTCGTACGATCCGAACGACTAGACACGGTTCAATACTTCAATACCAGGCGGAGTCCAGCACCACCGACAAGGAATTTGTGACTTAACTGTCACCATAATTAATGCCCTCTGTTACTGAGCTCTTGATATAATGATAAAGAAAAAAGGCAGAATAACTCAGTATTTTTTCAACGTGTAATTTTTTTTTTTTTTTTTTTTTTTCAATTTCGTATTTTGGTCAGCTGAAATGCCCAGTGCAACTCAGTAAAATACTGACTTTCATTTTGTGATTAGACCTTATAACTGATCGAATAATCATATTTTTTTAAAAAAAAATAATTTTTAAAATCACGTTAATTCTTTACAGATTGAAAGCAATACTAATTTCGAACATCTATTAGCGGTAGCTTAATACACACACACCCTACATGGCCTACGTGATCTACACGCACTTAGGTAACTTTTACTAGCACGTAGGCCTCGCCACCCAATAACCCCAAATACTATAGTCGCAATTTCAACCCGTTAACCGTATAACAATTCGAATAGAACATATAAAAAAAGTCTTGTGCATCTTCAAAAGATGAATTATTGAAAAACAAAAGAAAGCAAACTCTCCGATATATTTACATTTATTGTCAATCATTATCACTGGATAATGATAACCCCTAAGTCTACAGTACGAGTAAACTTCCACAGCTGGCGATCGGCTTGTCACGTGACATTTAAGTGTTTATTTGATATCTGTACCATATGACGACTTATACCGTTACACGATAATCACGTAGGCTACATTATATACATTTCTATTGTCGATTCGGCGAAATGAAGGTGGCTGTATTAGGCGCTACTGGACCGTCAGGTCAAGCAGTTGTAGAAGAGGCATTAAGCAGAGGACACGAAGTTTTGGCACTTGTCCGGAATCCGGACGGTATGACGGTCACACATGAAAAATTACAGGTAGGTGCATATCAAAGACATTATCACATGGACTTTGGATATTGCATACTGTTATATTATAGCTTACTATACATGAATGAGTGTAAAACTAAGTATATATAAAACTAGGTATATTATAAGATATCCCATAGTATGTAAAACAAATAATGATCAATGTAGGGCTACACAAAAATTATCTATTATTTAAATCAAATCAAAACAAATATGAAATATTATTAAAATTTAGGAAAAGTCCTTTGAGGTATCAGTGTTTAATATATCTATATGATAAATCGTTATATACAAATATGAAAAAAAATGGAATTGTCTTGTCTCTAGGCCAGCTGCATTCTTAAAATTTCTTTCATCACTTTTTTTTAATTAAATACATCTCTTAGATTGCAAACCCAGTCTTTTCTATTTGCAATTTATCGTCTGATGGAGATGGGGTGGGGGCAGTATATATTTCTTTAATCCAAATTAACAATGGGGACCTTACTCGGGATTAACATTGGGATTAACAATCTGTGTTTATATAAAATTTTCTTATACTGTCCCCATCAATATCTCTGTTGTTTAAAGGGACCATCCCCATTTTAACAAGAGTTTCAGAAATAAAAGTCTGTGTACGTATGAAATTTAAGCACCAATATGTAGAGGAATGGTGTACTTTACCGCAAAATATTGTGTCGTATGGACGTAAACATCAAAACCGCATATCCGGACATTTAACCTTTTAAGATTTCGGGTCAATTTAGTCGTTGGGTGACCTGATAATCTATTGCGGTTCCTTTATAGGTCTATACAGTGCTATACTTGATGTTGTAAGGTAAATTTCACCTTCACATTATTTTTATAAAATAAAAGTCTGGTTTTATCCAGATACTGTATAATACAGCTTGGGACACCGATCTTCATTTTCAAATGAAAACTGACGGGTTTAAGTTGTTTTAAAACATATCCCAAATACTGAGTTAGTTGCGGGGTAGAGGATTTTAAGGGCTTTTAACACAAAATTAAGCAGTTTTATTCTCCAAAATATAATCGGGATTGATCCTTCAACCATCCCAAATTGAAGTGGGACTTCGGTTTATTTGGAAGAATAAAATGTAATTATCTTCTTAAGAAAAAAAGTTTCACATTGCTCTGCTTGGCTGGTCATTTTTTAATATAACCATAAAATGTATTCATATCTACTGAGTGTGAATTGTGAAGAAAAAGAAATGTATGATGTTATCAAAGTTCATATTGTTTTATGCATATTTGTTTCACAAGTGGGGGGTTTGATGGCCGAATGGTTAGCATGTGCACGCTGTATCATAAGGTCTGTCATTGAGTCAACTGGCGTGGTTTCGATTCCCCGGTTGTACTTGACAAGGAGTAGGGTCGCATGTCCAACCTCGTGGGTTTTCTCCGACCCCTCCGGTTTCCTGCCACTTTTTTGTTGAAATAAAATTGAACCATGTGTTAGTTCCAAAATGACCTAGTTTGTGTCGAATGGACGTTAAACCCCATTTCTTTATCTCTCTGTTAATAAGTTAATTTTTCACATTAAGATGACCTGTGTTAGGGTATATCAAAGATTAATTAGAAAAGTTGTGGTAACACCACTGAACAGAGTTAAGTGCAGATATTGGGTGAGGGGATGTGGTGGGGGAGAGGGGTCCTTGTAGATTTGTAAAATGTCCCAAGGAGTCTGTGTGAAAAAAGGTGAGAACCGCATCCCTAGGCTACAATAGGTGTTGGTCATCTATACTCAGCCAAATTAAAAACTTGACACTCAGGATTTTTGGGACTAGATTTTTAATATTTGGTTTAAGGCAACTATTTTAGTGTTATGTTGTGCACAGACGACCTTGACATCAACAGAAAATAAGAATACGTCTCGCCGAAAGTCCTTGAAATTGATAACGTTCGTGATATCACAGTACCCCCCAAAATGAAATTCACAGACTTGGAGAACAATCGGAATAAAGTGTTTAGTAACGGTTGTCAGGGGCAGATCTAGGAATTTTGAAATGGGGGGGCGCTGCAAAATGAAGGCATTGACCGCGGAGACGGGGCACACCTTGCATCTGTAGCCATACCAAGAGCTATTTCCCAGACTGGTGTGTTTGGTTTGAGTCATTTGGGATCCCTACAACGGGTTGGGAATGGACATATTTGAGTCTGAGAAAAGGCACTTTCAGCAGTAAAAAAGGGCACTGTCGAAAATTAGGGGGGGGGGGCGCCCCTCACTCCCCCCATTGAATCCGCCTCTGGTTGTGGCCTCCTCTAGCGTCTCGTACTGCCACACAACGTCTTCTCATGGATCTCAGAACATTAGTAAACACTACCCGAGGAAGACGTCGCCACTGCTCAGCAAGAGCATGTTGAAGGTCCTGGAACGTCAGTGGTGGATTCACTCACTGACGAACACGTCGACCCTGTTCGTCCCAGATGTGTTCAATAGGATTAAGGTCGGGGCTAAGCGACGGCCAATCCAGGACTTGGACACCGGCATTTCTTAAAAAATTCTGGGTAGCATTTGCTGTATGGGGTCGAGCATTGTCTTGTTGAAACATTAGTCCAGGCCCATGTCTCTACATAAATGGAAGAAGAACAGGTTGCAAAATCTGATCCCTGTACTGGACAGCATTTAAGTTCCCTTGGACAACAACAAGAGGAGAACATCCATGTGCACAAAAAGAACCCCAAACCATGAAGTTGCCGCCACCAAATCGGTCAACTTCTCTGACGCATACTGGAGCGTAACGTTCACCTCGTCTGTGGTACACTTGGACCCTGCCATCGGCAAATCTCAAAGTGAATCGAGATTCGTCACTAAAGACAACCGAATTCCACTGTCTTTGAGTAAATCTTATGTGTCTTGTGGCCCACACAAGTCGGTTACGGCGACGAAGAGGTGTCAATATTGGTCAATTATAGGGCTTCCGAGCTCGAAGACCAGCAGTCTGCAAGCGATTTCGAACAGTTTGTGCAGTTACCCTACCACCAAACATCTCTCTACTTGTGGAGGTTGCAGTGACAAATCTGTTTCTAAGATGACATAATCGTATTGCTTGATCTTCCTGGAGTGACGTCACACGTGGCGGTCCCGCCCTTGGGCAGTCGGCAATAGTTCCAGTTTGAAGCACTCTCATTCTAAGATTAATTATTGTCTGGCGTGAACAATTAAAGGCTCTTGCAACAGTGACCACAGACTGACCAGCATAGAGACCACCTATAGCAAGTAGACATTCTACATTTGAAAGGCGCAGCATTTTCTAACAAAGATGAAAATAACAATTTTAATTTGTTTTTTCCAGTTCAAGTTATGTGTGCGTGTTCAGTTTAAGCAAACTTGCATCGATTGACCTCACGAGTTTGTGTCTTTCAGGTTTTTCATCTTTATAGGCTCAAAAGTCACGTGATCCACCTGACTTTACAATTTTATGAAATTAAAGGCTTCTTACTATTTACTATCGTTAGAAACACTTTAAAATTTATTTGACTTACCTGAAAAAAAAATTTGTTGAAATTCGTCAGTGTCAAGTTTTTAATTTGGCTGAGTATATGATTAGCGCCAATGATGACATTAACCTTGCAGCATCTGATTGTGATGGATTGATTTTCTTCCATTTTTTCAGGTCCAGAAAATAGACCTTGCAGATGAAGAAACGGTTATTCCACATATGAAAGGGTGTGACGCAGTTGTGTCATGTATAGGTTCAAAGGCATCATTTTTTTCAGGAATCACCTTATACAGTGATACCATTAAAGTTATTGCCTCATCAATGAGAAAAGCTAATGTAAACAGATTTGTGTGTATGTCAGCATGGGGAACAAAATGTAAGACTTTTTATATTTGATATTTTATTGTTGGGTTGATGGTCACCAATGTTAAAATCAGTATGCATCGGAAACTAAAAATTAAAAAAATTAGATGTTTCTAAAAAAAACAATTTCTGTGTGTTTGCATGTGTGTGATGTGCTTGCAGGCATTGCTCAAGTACCCACATCTTACTATGTTATCAATTCTTAAGACGAGAAACTTTTCCCATTGAGAGAAAAATGGAGTTAAACATCTACGCGACATAAACTAGGATTAGCAAATGAAATGTTCTGTTTTGTCAAGTTTTGTGTGAACTGTGCACTGAATTCTTGGAGTCACCTATTAAGTGGTTCGAAACAAAATTTAGATATAAAATGTCATTTTGTTTGTTAAATATTCCATAAATGACCCCTGACTGATCTCCAAGTAAATACACAAGTCACTAATGTAAGTATGTTTTTCTATAGATACACAATATGAACCGTGGTTTATGACCTATCTGTTGAGACCATTATTTCTGCGGACAGTATTAGCTGATATGAGTCGCATGGAGGATTATATTCAGGCTGAATGTCAAGATATTAACTATACTGTGGTAAGACCTCCAGGACTAACTCTTAATGAATCTACAGGTAAACAGATGTTTCAACAATTATCTATATATTCCTGGTATCAAAATCATTTGAAATCTACAATTTCAATTACTTATGTCAAAATTCTAAAGATATTGGAGATCCTAATTCAGTAACAATATATTTGAAAACATATTAGCTCAAAATAGTATGTCTAACAAGGTTTGTACCTTGCTTTACAAATCTAAAAATAGAGCTATTAGGACTGATATAACACCTTAAGTCTTTTAATGGACAATTCATCATCGTCATAAATCTAGCTTTGACTTAACAGCTTGTACTGATACACACACATTAGTGGTGTATCCTTGATTTCTGAAAGTTGAAGAGGGGATGGGGGCGGGGGGTGAAACTACTAATTTTATTATCCACAAATGTAAATGGAACTGTCAGTTGGGATAAGGGAGAGGGGGGGGGGGGGTCAGGGCCCAACAGCCTCCCTGCTTAATGTGCAAATAACAATGTAGAAATGAAGTTTAAACACATCATAAATGACATACAATCCAGTTTCATTTCATTTCAATTTTTCTATAACAGAAATATTATTACATTTTTAAGCCCTGAAGACTAAAGGGGGGTAACTCTGTAACTTTTTATTTTAGCTTTCATTAGATTTAATGTAGATTTTGCTTACAAATGTATTTTAGGAAAGGAAATCAAGACTAGTGATGGACAGTTTGTACCAAATACAAAAGGAAGCATACCAAGAAAAGATGTAGCTAAATTTATATTACAATGTTTAGAAACCCATGACTGGGATAGGAAAATGGTTGCTATTACAGTATAAATATTAGATATTTCACATGGTCGATCAAAACCAAACTTGGTAAAGCAAATATTTCCAGTCCACTTAAATCCGCTCTCTTACCTTGAATGTTTTGGCAAACAAGTTACTGCAGGACTTATTCACATTAAGTTTTGATAACTTCATAATATTGAGAGAATACTCTTCAAAACCTCACCCAAATAAATAAGTACATGTAACTGTTTTCCCTTAAGTATGTGTTATAGTTTATTGCCTTATCAAGTTGCTAAATGCCTCTAAAAGTTTACTGTTTTTATCAGTGATACCTTGCCCATGGTCTACTTGAATACAACTGATATCTTATAAACTTTGTGAATGGATATGAGTGCACTGGAATAGATATTGGGAACAACTACCTGTTGCAATATTTAAGAACTCCTGATTTTAGAAGACCACAAAAGCTTATGGATCATAGCATTTCTATCAAAGAAATAAGTTAAACATCAAATATTTTCACTATGTAACAGATTGAAATAAAGATCAAGGCAGGAAATAATATTCAATTTCATTTGCCTACCAAGAATAGTCGTATGCAATTTAATTTTATTCATGCGATCATTAAATGCTTTGTGACAGCCCTTTGTTCAAGTAATTTACAATTTGATCAAAGCAGGGCATTACATTTTGTATATATGTTTTAAACATCTATTTAGATATTATACAAGAACATTTTCATACACTTTTTAGTGCATTTATTTTAAAATATATATTTTCTAGTCAGTCTAAGTAAAATTTTGTATGATCTAACAATACCTTTTAGAGATATGTGTCCATCTTACCTGACCTTTGCTCTAGCCTATTAATAGAGGCTTTTGTTTGTACAAGATTGATTTTAAAGTTGCAAGTGCAAGGTAAGAGATAATTGATAAAGAAGTAGTTACATGTACATGTAAACCTTCATGACAACAAAAATTAAAACACAAAATAAAAATCAAATTTTATTTACTGGTAGATGGATTTTATGCCACTGATTTATTCATTGGGGAAGATCACATAGCTAATAGGCCAAAATTGTTTTGTGCACTATAATGGAAGGATACTACTGGAGGTACCAAGGATGCATGCTCTATCATATATTAAATATTCAAACACTTTTGTAATTCTATATTAAATATTCAAACACTTTTGTAGTGCCATTTTCTCCTTATTTATACTGTAAATATGTGCTTTTATTTCCAGCGATCCAAACTTTGTACATTATTTTCTAAGAAAATTGTTTTAATGGCATTTAGTAACTGAACTGGAATATACAGGTCACAATTCTATGGAATAGAATTACTGCTTATTACTGAGCAATGTTTTGAATAGACTTCTCTAGTCATTATCAAGAAATGTGACCTGTATATTTTCTAAGTAGTAAAGTTTTGTGAGTTATGAGGTTTATCACCTTAAAAGTGATACCACTGTCTTTTGGAGCATGGCCTTTTACAAATGAAAATTGTCATTAAATCATACAATTTATAGAAGGTCATTTCGGGACTAACACACGGTTCAATTTTATTTAAATCATTTGCTTGCACGTAGGGGTTTTTAGCAGTGGGAGGAAACCAGAGGACCCAGAGAAAACCCACGAGGTTGGACAGGCAACCCTAATCCTTGTCACGTACAACCGGGGGATCGAAATCACGCCAGCTGACTCAATGATGGACCTTATGATACAAAGTGCACGCGCTAACCATTCGGCCATCCAACCCCCCTGTAACATAAAAGATGCCACTTCAAGTGTAAAAGCATGACTAATAATAATACATGTACCTATCCCTATGTAGGGTGACCCGCCATAAATAAATATCTCCATATATCTCGACAATTTCGCCACAATATTTATATATATGCCAAGCCTCAAATCAGTTTCACACAATTATAGTCACTAAATAAACGATCATGTTGTACTTAATAAGCTATGACCATTAATCATCTATAAATAATAGACTGAAAACTGGTTCCATGTGTCGTCCATAACATCCAGACACTTTTGAGTAAAAGACAGGTTACGTGCCCTTGTTTTGAAATTAGTCTCGCTAAACCAGTCTATCGACCATTCTAGGGCTGATTGACAGGCCGGGATAATCAAGACTACTTTTTTACGAAACATAACAGAAAGCTAGAACAAGAAATTGAATTTAGAAATGAGCACGTTAGCTAGCTCAACAATTGTTTTAAAAAGCTTGTAAAAGTAAAATGAAACTACTGCTAGTATCATGTTCCTGTCTAACTCGAGTGTTTCAGAGATATTATTTGTACTAAACCAAAAGATGCCACTCTTAACGGTACAGTTAATGATAAAGCGATTTAAAAAATGAAACGAACGTAATTTCTAAATCTGCTGTAATAACCAAGAAGCTTCATTTTACTGCTATTCAAAATCGTCAACAATAATTTTTTTACGGCTGTAATAGTTGATAGATTTGTAGAGAATTGCACGTGCCATGGCTATTTATAGTATCATACTGTCAGAAAGTTGGCCTCGACACGGCGAATGTGCACGCTTCAGTGGTAGTCTCGAACTATCAGCGGTTGACTGTATTTCTGTAGGTGCATGGAATACACACACTGAACCAATAAATGTATATCATTTAATAGTCACGGTTTTAACACCTACTTGACTAACAATTTTAACTAACAAACATTATGTATATAAAATGACGACTTGGCTCTGTTTATGTCATACATTAATTTATAAAAGTTTTTTGTTCATTATGTCAACAGTATAAACATTACAGTTGTTATATAATATTTAGCTAGCTAGCTACCTCCTTTTCACAGAGATTTTATCTTTAGTTTGCATTTCAATATTTCTTTGAATTCTTCATGACATAATATATAATGCTCATAACTTGTATTATAAAACAGTTAATAATAAATGCTCCCTAATGTAGATAATAAATAAATGAAGTGAGTTTACAAACTAAAATGTATTGATTTATTTAAAGAAACTTTCCCAGATATATTATAGTCATTAGAACACAGGAATTCTATGTGAAAAACACTGATTTTAATATTTGTTGTTTATTTCATGTGTTTTGCACAATACTATATTATAAGTAACCTTTATCCTAGTTAAGTACAACTATCTGAATCTTTGTGGTACTTTTTCACAGAAATGCAAACTATTTTCATGCGGTTTGCATGTATTTGGATAGCCATATATAGCCATATGTACATAGATATTCAATAGTAATAGAGTTCAGTTATACACAGAATCTTTGCTCATTCGGTCATCTCTAAGCAAGAACGATTTGTATAGACCCAAATTTCCTCTCTGCGCATCTGCCCCTCCACAATTGCTTGGCTAGTTCTAAAGAGGAGCTATAAAGTTACTGTTTCTGACACTGAACCTTGTAAATGCTATATAGGGTACCGATTTATATCAAGGCGCAACCCCTATCAAAAATCAAAGTCGATGCATCATTTATTTGCAGAGTTACTGCCCATGTGTTTTTTTTTAGCTTTAAACTTGTGTTTGTTTTGGTGGCAATCAAACATCTTTGAAAAATGTTGGATCATATAATTTCACTTACTTAAAGATGCATTATGTAATATTTAGTTAAAGAGCTGACCGTTATTGCTATAATGGTTCAATAATAAATCTGACAAATAAATATATTGAAAATTTCATTAAAATTAATTAATTCTGAGCAAAGTGATCAGTGTTTACAATTTTGACAAGATGTAGAGCCGATTATTTATTATCAGAGCAAATGTTATAATAATTAGTATTTAGATTTTTGTTCACATGACAAGCCCATAATCAACTCTCTAAACCCATCGGATAGCTGAAATATTAACTGGATAAGACAATGTCATATCTTCGTTAAATGTTAAAATGGAAAATCAAGGTTTTGTTTACAATCGTAACAATGGTATTTGACAATCAAGACTATTTAAGCTATTATTGTCAAAACTTCAAACATTCATAATTTCGCTCAATAAAATAATTGGACTGAAATTTTCAATATATAGTCATAAACTATTATAGCATGAACGTCCAGCTTTCAATTTTTAAACTATTACAGCAATAACGGCCAGCTCTTTATCTAAATCTTACACACTGCATCTTTAAAAGTAATATACTTGTTTGAAATTGCATTCTGTATCAGGAAAAAAAGCTTAACACAAAAGATAGTAAAATTATTTAATGTAAGTGAATTAGTTAAAATGAACTTATCAATTAAATATGTCTTATTGTTGACACCATAATCATTCCATTTATTGCCCAACCCATTTATAAGCATTTATTTCCTTTTAGTGCATTAATTTATGTGTGTCAATAATATGAAGCTTGAAAGTATATTTTTAAAGAGGAGTTAGTATATTTGAGATCATGACTGTTCATAGTTCAAAAAAAAACTAATTTTGTATTCATTAAGTGTGTCAATAATATGAGGCTTTAATGAGGCATTAACACTTTTGAGATCCCGACTGTTATTAATTTGTGTCAATAATGTGAAGCTTTAGAAAGGTGACAGCAGTTTTGGGATCCTGATAGTTCGACAAAAAAATAATTTTACAATTCAGTGCAATTTGATTCAAAGACTATACAATTACAGGGAGATTGTGTCCAAATTAGATTGTATGTGAAATTTGCAACAAATCTGTCAGGACAATATAAGTTTAGGGGTCTAAGTAGGCCTATATAGGTTAGTTTTCAGATTTTGGTAGTCAGGGGTTATTTTTAACAGAAATATTATACCAAATTCATTTTCTTGTTGAAAGTGACAATGCCTCTTTAAAGGGTTAAGCTATATATAACCTTGAGTGGCATTTAGCGATTCAACACATTAAAAACACAACACAGTTTATATGGAAATACAATCACTGGTTTATAAGTATAGCACGACGTTTCGACAAGTATTCTCTTATCGTTATCAAGCACAAATGATATTTAGTTAAACTAAAAGGTGATATTTATAGTAAAACAAAAAAGAAGCCATAGATAAATGCTGTTATAATACAAGATAATAGTTAAATTGATCAAAGGATAATTAAAACTTAAATATAGTTAATTGATGGGGGTTAACAGTGACCAGGGAGCATTTAGTTTGTTTATATATAAGTATATTATAAACAAACTAAATGCTTTATGTTAAAAAGTGTAGGGATTTAAAGTACTTTGAAATAAATGATTTTTATTTTTATCAATGGATTTACAATGGATATTCTTAGACATGGACCTAAAAAAAGAAAATTAGTATATGACTAAATTACAAACATTACAACTTGGCTTATCAACTTTCTTTCTGTCCATTAAAAAGCTTTTTATTTTAAAACCAAAAGAATATACTTTGGTGAAACATACTTACTGAAACACACAGAGAGAAACTGTGTTGCACATCTACCAGTTCCCAGAGGATCTTATTTAGGGCGTATAGCTCATGATTGGAACCATAAAATTGATGAAAATAGGTCTCAAAGCAGGTATTATACGAGTACATAAAGTGATTTTTAAAAGCTTTATTGTCATTTTTAATCAGTTATGTATCTGTAAATTACACAAACTGTCCAAATTGAACAGGAGTAGTTTGCACCTGCTTAGTTCATTCTACACAGGTTTGTTGTTTGTGAATTAACCATTTATTAATTACCACTGCATGTCTTCTGTTTTGGATGTATTTTTCTTTGTTCATTATTATATATCCAAATGGCACTGGAAACCATTAATAAGAGTAAAGTACAGAGATGGTTGTGTCTTGAGTTAGGTCCAGAGTGAGGTTTAGCTCCTGTGATGAGATATGGCAGCAGACCAAAGATACAAATACAATTCTGATATATATATGACTGATTTGTAAAACAAATACCGAATTTAACATTGGCCTACAAATGTTAATTTTAGCATACAATAATTGACGATATACGACAACAAATGAAGAAATAAGAAATAGGAGCTGTTTGGTATGCTAAAAAATAAATACTTCTAGATGAATGCAAATGCAAATAAGACATTTAGGGCTACTTACCATACAATGATCTCGAAATTATCCAATCTATTGAGATCAGAAAACAATCTTTACCACTCTCGAAAAAAAAAGGCCCGCTTTCACGCGTTTCCCCCAACGGAAAAACGCCGGTGCAAATCTACCAATGTATTTCGGATCCGTGAGCTGAAAAGTTTGGGGAACCCCATGT